GAAGGTACAATACTACGGTTATGTCAACAACAAGGAATCTATGATGTCGCAATTCCTATACTAAATGAGATTTTCAGGTGGAGATTAAGCAACAGGAACAGATGAACTTCTAAAAATCAAGAGCCAACTTTCAAGCAAATCGCCCTGGTACCAATAAAGGAGGGTGAATACAAATACGGTATAGAAACAGACTTGCTTGTCAGTGGTAAACTTTCCATCTTGATCAACTGCTCTTTAGCGCCACTGGGCTTCCCATCCTGTATCTGTATTTTCAAGATTATCTAATCCCAGGACAGCTAACACTCTCCAGGCTAAAATTTGTCTCCGATTTTGAGACCTGAAGGAAATTCCTGGCCTCTGCCAAATTTGCCAAACTAGCGGGTTTGTGGGGTTTTGTCCTTGACTCCTATTTAATCCTTCATTAACATACTGAAAAACATCTAGATGTGTGGCTGTGCCCACTGCGTATCACCTGTTTCGTCTCATTGTTTCCTTGTATTCCTCCATCTGCTGTCGCTTGTGTTATACTTTGATTGTCAGCTCCTTGGGGCAGGACCATCTTTGTGTTCTGTTTTTATACAGCACCTGACACAATGAAGGCTTGATTCATGACTGGGGCTGCTAGGAGGTGTGGTGGTGATTATAATAATACTAATACTAATGAAGCGTTATATGGTACATCTTAGTTCTGGAGCTGAATACCATTGTAACTTTAGTTGATTGCATTTGTTCCCTTCTTTAAAGCAAAGCTTGCCCGAGAAAGCAACCTTGAAAACATTTAGAGTCCAGTTTTCCAAACATGCAATGCAAACTGCACGTACAGTTACTACAAATGTGCATGCAAATGGCCAGTTAGACTTTTAACTAGCTGATTGCACTGATACCAATCTACATGTGCAGTAATGGTTCATGAAAATTAGATATGCGGTTGTACGCCATCTTTTGAAAACCAGCATCACTTTAGTTCGCAACCTTTTTCATACCGTGACCCCCTGGTCCAATAGGAGAGTCCTGGTACCTACTTCAGACTAGCCATAAACTAAAGGAAGATGGTGTCAACACCCTGAAACCTGTTTTGAGGACTGTCCCCCAATGGGATCTCATTCCCTGGTTGAGAACCCATGATCTAACTAACAAGGTCAAGGAAATTCTCAGCTAGGTCCATTCATTAACTTAGTCTACAAGCTGCATAACGAGTTCCCAGCTTTGCCCAAATCAGGGATGATTCATTCAGATCAAAATGTAACTTTGCATGTTCGTACCTGAATTCTCCTTGCTGCACCTTCCATATTAAGGAGAAAGCCAGCTGTAGGTTACCTTGTAAAATCCAGGATTTTATTCACCTCTGCTGTGGGAGAAGCATTGCTTTTACTAGGAATTCCTTTTCTGCTTTTTGTCCAGCCCTCTTCATTTTTTACTGGATGGAATTATTTCACCTACCGCTAGACATAATTAGTACCTAAGTGCCTAAATCATTATAGTTTTGGATCTTACAGTGGTGAGAACCAGGTTTGATAAGGGTCTTGTTTTAATGCAGCTGTTACCAATAGCAAGAGATTAGAAC